TATTTCTCCGCGGGCACGACTCTAGTATTCCTTGAGTCTAGAGCGATCGAATCAGAGATTTGCTCTTCAAAGATATCACACGATGTTTTGGAAATTGTGGGATGGAGCTCGATCGTCCCAGAAATGTAAAGGTTATGGCACTTCAATGGAAATAACTTAAACATTTTTATTATTCAAAAATGAACAATTTTCGAAAATATACAATCTCAAGATATGAATTTTTTTTTCCCCTTGTTATTACAACTTTTTTCTCCGAACATTAAAATTTCTCTCTGAAAAGCAATTTTTCAATTTACATGCATTATATACCCTGTATAGAATCGCTAGGAAGTTAGCGGTGTAAATCGAATAAATGAGTTTTCATCAAATTTTTCAAGTCATTTTTCTTGAATCACCTTCTTCTTTGTTGTTATACAATTTTCACTTCATTCTGTTATCTGAAGTGAGGTTGAATTTTATGTTTAGAAAGATTTCATTCTCCTGGACGACCACTCCTACATCTTTTCTTTTTGCTTGGTGACACGAGACATAAAATACATCTGTTGCCTGTAAGAGAAAAAGATAGAAAGGAAAGAGAAAGAGAAAGAGAGAGAGAGAAAGAGAGAAAGAGAGAAGAGAGAGAGAGAGAGAGAGAGAGAGAGAAAGAGAGAAAGAGAGAAAGAGAGAGAGAGAGAGAGAGAGAGAAAGAGAGAGAGAGAGAGAGTCTGATTCGTACGAAACATTATAATAAACTTACGATGCAGAGGGTACGAGCTGCACGACGGGCTGGCCTAACAAAACGCTTTTGTCGTATCGCGGAACAAAGTTGAATGCCTTTGGGGAGAGAACGAGAAGATGAAATTGGTCGAGGGGAGGATAGCAACTACGAGGGAAATACGAGAAACGTTCGTTGAGTGTAAAGTATAGAATCGGAAAATCGTACACCCACTTTCTAGGAAGATATTGTTGGCTTCGAAAACACTTTCCGTGCAACTTCTGTTCTTTCTTCTTCCTCTTTCAATCTTTACCATTTTTCTGACCTATTTCAGAAAATAAATTTTTAATAGAAACTGTTCTATTGTTATCAAAATACACGATAAACTATAAAAATATATCATTATTACGTTTCAATTTTTTCGATAATAAATATGTTAATGTAATTGTTGTTATAAAACCTTCGCTATATGTATTTTTGTCGAAGCATCCGAAAGAATAAGACACCCCTTCCATCCAACCAACTCGTCTCTTTGAAATAGTAAAAGCATTCCCTTCGCCCCTGTTGCAGTAAAATCGTTCCGCAGGAGAAAGGGAAAGGGAAAGACAGAGGGAGCAAATAGTTGGGAGAAGATGAAAAAGAGGGTTGAAGAGATACGGAGGGTGGGCGCGTGGAAGGTCATCGTTTGTAATAATTCCGTTTCGTTGCATATCAAGGGCGATTTCGAATCAACGACGCGTGCTTGGGGAAGAAGTGCCTACACGCTAGTTGGAACCCTCCTTTTTTCATTGGTGGACGGTGCCAAATACGTTGGTACGATAGAGTGAATCATCGTTCAAGGGGAACCGCAGGACCCTTCGAACGAGCTGTAATAAACGAGACCCGCGTAAAGTCCGGTTACATCGTGAAAAAGAAAAGGGCACCGCCACGAAACCTTGCTACCGGAGAACTCCCACATAAGGGTCATAAGATCAATCGTTTGTTTATGCTAAAATCGTGCCTACCTACGTGTCACGGTTAGTAATAATAACTTTTAGGACGATCGCTGAACTCCTTTATTTTTTCATTCACAAGCTAGTATATATATTCTAAGAAAAAGAATAAAAATAGCATATTTTTAAATACTTTTTTGGTTTAACACCATAGATATCGGATCGTTTATTACGTTATTGCGGATATTAAACGAGAGAATGTCCTGGAACGAAAGAGGGTGACTAGGAAAGGGGTTGAAAGCCGGTTAGTGGGTCTATACTTTTTCTCTTTCTCACTTTCTCTCTCTCTCTCTCTCTCTCTCTCTCTCTCTTTCTCTCACTCTTTGTTGTACTTCGTACCCTCTTGACATCTCGTTCGTATCGATTTTACTCGTATAAATCGAGTACGAAAAACTTGATAATTTTTTAGTATTTTCATTCGTTTGATATTAACGAATAATATGTTTTACTGGATCCACATATCTGTTAATTTCACAGGAATGTAATTGACATATAACAGAGATGCTTGGAAAATACCATGCCGCTTGATTATGCAAATTTCCTTGGTACCCGTTTAAACCCTTCAAATCCACAAAGGCGCAATTAACCGTGCGAGTGACGAGGCACGTGACATTCGCCTAGTTTTGATCTTGAAAATGTTAACCTGATTGTTGCACGTGCATCTAAACAATAAATCTTCTCATCCGTAATATATGGTCCTAACACGTTACTAGTAGTTATTTCAGTGTTTTGATAAGAAAACGATCAAAGAGAATAAAATGACAAAACGATGGAAAACGAATTCGTTGTTACGATAAGATTGTAGACGTGGTATCGAGTCTTTCTCGTCGTAGTTGTTGTCGTCGTCGTCGTCGTCGTCGTCGTCGTGACGACATCGATGTTGGAATCCGAAGAGCTGGACCGTCCTGCTACGATCCAGCATCATTACCGACATCACGGAGTGCTCGTTAGTCTCATTTATATTCGCATGTGCCGTGTACGACTTACGTTATGAGAGAAAAAGAGAGAAGGATAGAAACGGCAAGAGAGTATAGTGTGTGTGCATGTGTAAGATAGAAAGAGGAAGGAAAAGAGATGCTGAAACTCCAAACTGCTCTCTCCCAATGGCAACGGTTGCAGAGGCTGGGCGAATGGTCCCGTCCTTGTCTCTCCTCTTCATTTCTCTCTCTCTCTCTCTCTCTCTTTCTCTCACTCCTTCTCCCGATTCTCCGTGTAATGCAGCGCGCATGACTCATGGCTTTGCTTGCTCTCGCAGAGTTCTCCGCGTTCTTTAGAAACCTTCCGCCTCGGTAGTAATGCCTTTTTTAACGAGGCAAACTCGCCCGTCATTGTCATCACGGGTCCTTCGCGAAGTTTCACGAGGTTACCTTTATTTTGTGAAAGAGTAAAAGGGGAGAAATACACATAGAAATAGAGAAAGAGATAGATAGAAAGAAAGAAAGAAAGAGAGAGAGAGAGAGAGAGAGAGAGAAAAGGAAAGAGAGGGTTCAGAACGTGTTTTGGGTAGTTCACCTTTAAAAACGCGAGTAGGTGAATTTCGTGCGGTTCGCTTCAAAGGACCTTCTCGTTTTACTCACATTGTCGTTACGAGACAAGTTACCATGTACTGTTTGCAACAAAAGGACCTTTTTAATGTAGCTAAGTAAAATGAATGAATCATCTAGGTTTATATACGAAAGAGACAAAAAGGAAATTACGCACTATTCCTCGCGAATAAAATACTTTTCTTCTTTTTTTTTAAAGAAATCTTTCTTCGATACATTAATTCTCTGAAAGAAGAAATCGCAAGAATTATTATTTATCTTTTCCAAAAAAAAAGTTATGCTAATGAGGATATTGGGGAGGAAGAGATAGAGAGAGAGAGAGAGAGAGAATGAATGAGAGAGAGAGAGAGAGAGTATGAGATGTTGCCGGCTATACTGTAGGATATTCGTTATCATTAATCACACGTATTGATAGACGAGCACGAGCGTGAATAATCGGCACGATACTCGCTCCATCAATGGTCCTTTTCTTTCGAACCAATTACCCGTAAACTCACGCGCACGTTTCAATACCTCGACGATCCTTGTAAAAATGATCGAAGAAATTGTTTCAGTATCGGAAACGATAATGATTCGAAAAATAAGGAAGAAAAAAGGAAAAATAAAAGATAAATAAGACATCGATAGTTCTAAGAAATTTTTCTCTTCCCTCTTATTCTTTTTCTTTCTTTGTCAAAGACGCAAACTGTCTTTGTACTCTTTCGATACAAATGATAAGATTACCAAGATCAAACAAGTAATTGTAAGAAAGGACGAATTCGAAGGTGTCTTTTCTTTCAATAAGGGTTAAGAGGTAGTCTGATAAAGGTTCTTTGGTGAACATCAAGAGAGAGAGAGAGAGAGGAAGGAAAGAAAGGAAAGAAAGGAAAGAAAGGATAAGAGGCTCATTGGAAAGGCCATGAATCGGAAAAAGAAAACGATGGAAGGACGAAGTCTCGCGTAGCAACACACGCTGCATTACAAGTCCCATACATACTCGATTCAATCTTCCTGCAGTTGCATACCTTCGACGAGAAGAATAAGACAACGACAACGACGACGACTACGACGACTACGACAACGAAGAAGAAGAATAAAGAAGGATGAAGAAGCGTCTATCGACATAGTAACGTCGATATCATCGAAGTGAAGTTAGGTGCGAACGTTGCGTGCATTGGCATGAAAAAAATGAAAAATGATGAGAAGGGAAAGGAGAAGGAAAAGAGGCAATATTTCCTACCTATCTTTCTATAGTCTGTAAAATTCTCGATTTCCGATAGGAAGGAGAATATGAGAGAGAACTTATCGATAGTACGTATCAATACGAGATAAGACGATATTGTATAGGATATAATCGTAAAGAAAGATATAGAACGTCGTAAGATATATATATATATATATATATATATATATATATATATATATAATTCTCTGAAAATATGTTTCTTTGAAAAAAAATCAATCAATCGGATTGCTTCTTATCAAAGAAAATATAGATACGTAATAATGATAATTGTTTTATCGACGATATAACTTATTAGAAAATAACTGTATTCGTTTGCTAAAAGTCTTATATTATTAAGAAAAGAAATAAAGAAAGAATAAACTCGGCGATTAAATTTTCAGAAAGAATACTTACAATTTCTCGGCTAGACTCTATTCTAAACTCTAGTGAAAGATAATGGCGATGCATGTGCAGGTTAACGTTCCAAGATATAAAGTCTTGAAATAATGCGTGATAAAGTATAGAGCGAGCGAGCGAGCAACTTTATCGCCGAGTAAAAACCTTCTTCTCAAGATCTATCGTTTCTTTTTCTACCGCGGCAGAGCCTTTTTCCTCGTCAATTCTCTAATAACCTAATAACTTAAGTACGGTCACCCGATCCCTCCTTTATTTTCAAAAAGAAGAACACGATATGGAACGTTGCGACTCCCTTCGAAAGTTTTAAACCTAAAAAATTTACTATGCTATGTGGACGTTGAGACGAGAGAATTCTCTTAACATTTCAACGTATTGTTTCGCTCATACGTATGTAAGTACTACGTAAGTACATACGTGCTCGTCGTACAGGTTTTACTGCTGCCACCGTAAAGTGCTTCGAAAAGGCGACCGACTTTCAAAATCGAAAGCAAACTTAAATACCATTGTTTAGAAGAAACGTGACTAAATAAAGTGAAGCTTCATCGATACACGCTGATTATTATGAAAATCGATGACAATGAGAAATGTTGAAACGTTGCTTATAAATAGAAAAGAATAAAAAAAAAAAGGTTATTACGAAACGAGTCGTTAATCTTTACGGCAATTCTTGTTTAAAAAAAAAAAAAATAACCATTATTTTTAATGAATTGTATTGGGTAAAAACCCAAGAAAAGGCCGGAAAGAGGGGAAATGAAAGAAAGAATATGACATTAAAAAAATATAATTTTAGAAGGCAACTGTACTCATATGCAGATAAGAAAAAGTTGATACGAATGAGCTTGAAATGCCCATTGGTAAGGTATCGTAACCGAAAGATAAGAGTGCGTATGTAAACATTTCTGGTTTTCAAAGAGGAGGGTCGAGAGAACGTACGATCAGTGCCAGACTTCTCGCTTGAAGCATATAAGACGCGCGCGACCACAGCTCGTCGGCCAACCCCAATGGGTTAATAAATTTACGTTTGTTTGTTCGGGACGCCACGAAGAGACCCTTTCGGTTATCACCTATTTAATCCTATCTATTTTGAGAACGGTAAACGACACCATTACTGCTAACCTAAATCCATTCTTAAAATCTAACTCAGGGCCATTATTTATCGTCCCGATAAATTAGTACAAGTTTTCCAAAAAAACAAAAACAAAAAAAAAAAAAAAGAAAAAGAAAAAGAAAAAAAAGAAAAAAGAAAAAGAAAACAGGACAAAATTTTCCACAAATATTCGATATGGAATCGTTATAAGAGAATTACTTCTTAGAAAAGGAATCGGTAAAGATTTACGATTAGAGTTCGAAAAAACTAAGTGTAGTCTCAAGCACGCTTTCATGGCATGGCGTCTACCTTTACTTACACGACGCTCGAATTACGTGTACTCCAGAAATAACGCGAGACTTCTTTGTCGAGACACGTAACCCGACTACCACTCGAGAACAATGCCGGTAAGTCCAAAGGCGCCTCCTTAAGCCTTTCGCATGTTATACGTCCGAGCACGCATATCCACATACACACACACACATACATACGTACATACATACATACATACATGTATGTATACGCATAACGTTCCTACGTTACAAACGTCCACGCAAGGATCGTCTTATCGAATACGATTGTGTGCGCGAGCAAACGTGACCGTGAGTACTTACTCGTAGAAAACTTTGCCGTTCTTCTCGAGACCAAGCAAATGCACACAAGGCACGCATACAAAGAGAACGATAGATGTACAAACATAGGCGTTACGTAGACTCTAAAAAGACAGACTTCTCCATTCCTTTTCTCCGTTTCTTCTCTCCTATGGTTTCTCTCACCTTGGTTCACGTTCCTTTTTATAGTAAGATTTCTATATTTCTTTTTTTTTTTTCTTCTTATTCCTTTCTTTTATACTTACAGAGCATTGCTCTAATCTTTCAATAAACATTTCCTCTTCATTCGTCCATCTATATCTGTCTATCTATCTGTCTATTTGTCTGTCTGTCTGTCTGTCTGCCTGTCTGTCTGTCTGTCTGTTTCTCTGTTTATCTCTTTCATCTTTTACAACAGGCAATAAAATTCGCGATCTTTTACTTTGCCAAACAGAGCGCGAGCGTTTTCGAAGAAGTCGATAAAACGATTTTTTCTTTTTTGTTAAAGTAAGTCGAGAGGTACGGCGCTTCAAGATTCCCGGGCGAATGTTCGTATTCCTCTCTCTTTTCGAGATCGGCCGCGTTTTATCGCTTTACCGCTTTTTAACTTTCACGGAAAACGAAATCTTCTTCTCGAGGAGTAAATCGTCCGTGTAATCATCGCGTCGTCGAGGATCGAGTCGAAGTGATCGTCGATAACGCGGCCATTTCTTATCTACTTTCATCTCCTTTCTTTCCATAATTTTTTTTTCCTTCGTTCCTTTGTATGCGCAAGTAAATTCTCAAACGACCCGCCTACTATTCCTCACAGCGAACGTAGATATTTATTTGTCAAATTGCAAATCATCGATTATCGGGTTAACGATGATACTCTTCTTCTAACAATTATAATTTCAATTCCACTATCGTTCGATTTTAATTGCATAATAATTTTAATTTTAATATACTCGAAAGAGAATTACCTATTCCGTCTACTTTTTCGAATAAATCTTGCGTAATCCGATTTGTCAAAGTTACATACGAACGGGGGTATAACATGCTTTCGTACAGTAATTAAACAATTCATATCGTTTGACCATATTATATCGAAATAAATTTTAACGAACTATATAATAACCATTTAAGATTGGAAATTAAAAACCATTATCACTTTTTTCTATAATTCAAATAAGCTTCCGTCGAATACTCTTGGTCCATGACGTAAATTGAATTAATAATATATTTCATGTAATTTAGTTTGTTAAAATCCCGGCGACTGACGATATCATCGACTAAAGTCGAAAAAGAATTCGATTTATTTTTTTTCAAACGATAAAGCACGAATGTCCGAGAGGAAGTCACGAGAGCTCGTAATTCCCTTTTCTCGAATTTCGAAGGAACGAGTTTACTCACGCGATCCAATACTAGGGAGGAAATCTCTAAAAGGACGACGATGTTGCGGTTCGTTTTCTCGAGGCGAGTGCGGTACATAGATTGGCATAAAAACAGTAGAAGGTGAGCAAAGGTTTATTCGAGCGCACATTATCTGCAATATCGTATGTATGTGTGAAACTACCACGATCACAGGACCGAATTAGAGAAGGAGCTTATTACCAGAACGGCAGCTGTGCACGGCTAATCCTATGTTGCTTGCTTTCCATGGCCGTAGATACACCGGAGGTCGACCGACGAACTTCTCTCTCTCTCTCTCTCTCTCTCTCTCTCTCTCTCTCACTCTTTCTCCCCCACTCCCTCCGGTAGAAGGGTTGGTTATTGTCTCTAATTTAAAGCAACGATTTCCTGTCACGCTGCCTACGAGCTGTAAGCACTGCGCTACGCTTCTGCCCGTCCATTCATTCGTTTCCTCCTCCTCATGTTCTCGTTTCTCTTTATCTCTCTCCCTCTCTCGAGGTTCTTGAGAACAGAGTTACATACATTACGTAGATAAGTCAGGCATCAGTGTGGAGAGACGTGTGGGCTTCCACGACGGTGGCCACCGACGTTGTTGTCGCCGTCGTTGCCATCGTCGCCGTCGCCGTCGTCGTCGTCGTCGTCGTCGTCGTCGTCGTCGCCGTCGTCGTCGTCGTCGTCGTCGTCGTCGTCGTCGCCTTAGTCTTCGTCGTCGCCTTAGTCTTCGTCTTCGTCGTCGTCGTCGTCGTCGTCGTTCTAGTCGTCGAGGTTTTTTCTCCTTTACTTCTTCTTGCATTGAATGCATAAACGAAGTAGGCAAAAGAAAACGTGTCACGAATTAAGTAAGAAGAGAGTAAAAAGTTCATCGCATAGTTTGGCTTCATCGACTCATAAGAGCTTAGAAAAGAGGTCTACGCTTACTTTCGTCATAAAAAAAAAAACTAAGATAGAGAGTTTTAAACAATATCTTATTATCGGACTAATCGGATTGTTGGTTGTCGACAAAATTATTAGTAATGTACGAAGGCTTACCTAAATATAGCATGAAAAACCAATTAAGGAAACCAAGAAAATTACAATGTTATTCCTTGATTAAACATTAGAATCAATATTTTCTCGATTCGTTAAACGACAAAGATTTTTCTTTCAAACCTATAATTTCTATCTTTCATTTAATTCCAATTTCAACAATTATTTCAATATAATCTAAGACGCACGTACAATTCGATAAAAAAGAAAAGGGACGAATGATTCATTGCTTTTTAAAAGATAAAATCTCATGCGTCTCGAGAAACGATAGGCACGAATTTTCGTACGCGAATGCAATGAACATTAGGAAGTCGCACGGAGCGTGCGGAACGAACAATTACAATTCGCACCGCGTAGGAAACCTCAATGTCGACCCACGCGCCTTGTCGTCACGTACGATGCAAACGACAGGACGAAGAAAAGGAGAAGAAGAAGAAAGAGGTGGAGGTTGAGGTGGAGGAGGAGAAAGAGAAGGTGGAGGAGGAACAGTGCGGCAAACGACTGGCAAATTGCCAATTGCCTACAAAACGGACGTCGATGACGAGAAACCAAACGGAACTCGACGACGATCGATGATCCTACTATACTACAATCTTCTTTGAAAAATATTATTTCTTCTTCGTGAAGTGAAAGGAAAGAAGTAAAATGGAGAATAGATGAGTATAAACAAAAGTATATAAAGCTCGTTCGTGCTATTATCCTTTTATATTAGACAATTATCTCTCCTTGCATCGCGAATAAAATTATTGCGGATAAACTTTTTCCCTCTTCCTTTATTTTCCTTTCTTCTATTTTTTTGCCTTCTATCAAGGATCAGTCTTAATTAGAAGCAATTTGTATTTTAAATTTATAAAATGATCGATTTATTAATCTATATCGAATCGTTGACAAAGAAACGTTTCTCCTAAAAATAAGAACAAACGAATCCATTAAAAACATTTCTGATAGAAAAGAATACGATTCCTTTTTCTTTTTTTTTTTACATACAAACGTATAACGAAACAATTTAGAAATTTATTTCTTTTTTTTTTCTCTTGATTTATTCGCCCTTCTATATTTAGAAAACTTTCTCTGACATAGGTCCATAGAAGATTCCCAAACAAGAATGCTACTACCTAACCGCTTTGAAGATGCAGAAAGAGAGGGAGAAAGGAATGGATGGTATTGTTCAAATATAGTAAGTAAAATATTTTTATAAAAATAAAAATAAATATTTTCTTTTGCAGAAGTTATAGAAATAAAATTTCAACAGAGAATATATACTTTTTGATATTTCTTTTACTGCGCCGACATATTTCTGCTTTTTATTTCTGAAAAATCATGTAATCCAGGTGATAAGAGAATATGAAGAAAATATATCATAAAGGAAATAACATGAGGAAATTGGAAATAATCGAATTCATATGGGAAAATAATTTTTATAAAATGCAATCGATAAATTTGATTCTATATGTAGATACACACAATCGCTCGTAAGTTGGATTGATCTTAAGCTTATAAAGGAAAGTATATTGAAACGATTGTAACTATTCGAAAATATCAATATATTCGATCTGCTTATGAATTTTACAGACATAAATGATTTATGTGTACCTTTCGTATAGCTCGAACTTTCTACGGTGTATGCACCGTTTGTCTCTAATGATTCCGACATTGATATCGAAAGCCGATCCGCTTAAGTGCGTTTGAACTGGATCACGAGTTCGTGTGTAACCATATGGTATTTTATATAACTTGTACAAAAGAATATTAAAGATTATATAGAAACAAACGTTCTATATGCAAAATCAAATTCTTCTTGGAGCGGATATCGATTGTCTTAACATTTTTCTTTCCTTTGAAAAAAAAAAAAAAATAACTCTTTGCTTGTCACGTCGTTCGTCCTGTTCTAAAGAAAGTTCATTAAAATTTATCGAATTAGAAGTTCCGTGGGCGTTTCTACACCCTTCCATTCTCATTAACGTTGATATATTTTTATTAACGGAGCTGGCTTAATGATCGCTAAAGAAGCGGAAGTTGATCGTTTGCATCATTCTGGTCCAAGATTAATTTTGAAAGATACAATGATGCAATCGTTTCTAAGAAAAGATAAGTTCTTGAGAAGAGAAGCAAAACTAAAAATAAGAAATAATAATTAATTCTGATTCGTCCGGAAGGGTATTCTTCTTAAGAAGACAACAATAAAAGTCGAAATGGTAGAATGAAGCTACGAGACGATAAACAAGGAATTGTTTTTCGATCCTTACGATACAACTGGCATTTTCATTCGACTACCAGTCGAAATTCTCCGTGAGAATTGTAAGAGGAATCGAGAGCCGTTCATCGAACGCCTGGTAAACAGGTATGTGTGGATAGAAAAGCTTCTACCTGCTGTGGTTACAAGGTTATCGGAACTCTGGTTCATGAGAATGTCTATTAAAAGAAGTCTTCTATAAATTTCAAAGAAAAGCTATAACGAACCGAATCTTTACATATTCTATAATAATAATTAAGCGACATTAATGATACAATATTTCAAAAATTTCAAATGTAATAAGATTCTAATTTAACGATTTCATGTAAATTTTAAACGTAAGATACCCGGCGAACGTCATTCGTTCTACTGTGACAAACTTAATCCTTAAAGACGTTCCTATACTCGCACAGTTAGAACTTGAAAACAATGGAAATGCTTTCTCGTAAATTCGAATTCGCGGCAAACGACGAATTTCTCCTCTTTAAGACTCGTAAGCTACTGTTATTTCTATGGCTGACATTTTCAACCGATGCAAATGCCGTCTACAATAGAAATGACGTTTTACTATATATCTTCTCTCCTCCACTTTATGGTACTTCGCACACATTTAATCCAAAGGCGACATCGAGTTATCGTTCGAAAGTCTATCAAAAGTTACGAAATGATAACATCGAAACGTTCGCGACAAAGCACTCGACACCTCCTTAACTCCGACTCTTCTTCTCAAAACTGATGTTTCAAACGTATCCTCCCAACTTATCTAACAAGTTTCTTTAACAATAATAATCTCTATCTTCCTCGACGTTTCTCTTCCCTGTCAAACCGAAGAAGTTAATGTTAAAGACGTTAATGTTAGCATTTAAGATGTAAAACGTGAGATTTAATGTAGATCGTATTGTCAGAAAAACACTGTACGATTTTCAACAAAAATCCTTATTGAGAAATTAATTACATAAATTTAATTTGAACTTATCCATCTATAAAAATGTTATATATTGTATACACAAATCTTTGACTTTCATATTATTTTAACTTTAACGTACAGCAATTACAAGTCTATTCTTAATTGCGTTATTAAATTAGAAAGCCGAAGAAGTCGAATTTTCATGAAAAAATTCTAGCACGAAAGGGCCTTTTAAAAAGAAATAAGCTCGAGTAATAATTACACATAAAAGCATAAAGAAATGAATTCAAACGTTAACGAGTCCTAGAAACAAAACTTTTCGTAGACGTAAGCACGCGTACAGACGGACATTTTCTCAATTCGTCGACTACGTTTCCCGAGTTCTTTTCTCCGTAGGTGCACGTGTTGCTCCGTTCCTCGTCTTTTTCATGCTCTGCTTACGACGTGAGTGGAGGTAAGTTTGCTTCAGGTTTGTAGCTAAGAACGGGAGAAGGAGAAACTTACTAGACATGCACAAAAGAGAGAGAGGGTGGGAGGGAAGGGAGAGAGTGACATTTTCGCCGGTTTGTGTTTATAGACAAGCTCGCGTAACATTGCTTTAGCTCGAATGCGAGTATGAATGCGCGTAATAGTTATTCGTGATAACGCGTTAAACGAACGATAACTATATTCCTTTCTTCTTCGTAATCATTTCGTTCATCATTCTATCTTAGACAGTAAAATAAATGCAAGAATGTGGATTCTTTGATTGGCCTAACAAAATTCAAGGAAGAAATATCATTAAAGTATAAAGACTCCCTTCAATAAAATCACTTTTCCTTTTATCATGTTCATTACTGTGATTATTTAATCATTACTGTGATTATTGATCGGATTGATCTGATAATAAATATACGCGTACTGGAATCAATGGAATTTATTTTTCACGAGAAATCTCTCGTATATTCACCGTTCGAACTTTATGAGAAGTCGTGTCTATTAAAAAAAATTTGTCAACGAATATATTAACTCATTAAATGTTTTCGAGTTACTAGAAATAAAAAGAAAGAAAAGGAAAAACGCATGTGTTTTCTCGTAAGAAAAATGTGAAGCGGCAAGTATTATCGGTCGAAGCAGAGAAGCAAAGGGATTTCTTTTTTCTCTTTCTCTCTTCCTCCCTCACAAAATTACCCTTAGTCTCGAGGATCAACGTGTTCTGGACGCAGAGAATGAAGGATCGTGGCAGCTGCTCTTGAGAATCGGGACGCGGTAGGGCTTTTATACTTTCGAGCCGATCTTTCACCGACGGACATATTCACCGACGTGCTTCATTTTACGATCGCACACGACCCCAGAGAGAATGAGAAAAAGATGCGACAAGGATTTTCCTAGGCTTCTTAAAGCTTTTTTTCACTTCGTATTCGGAGGATCGCATTCGCCACGTCTCTACGTCATTAATCCTCATCTCGAAAGACAGGCGCATTCGGGCTAAAGACTTCGGAGCATCCGAGATTACTTCTCCTTTTTTTTTTCTTCTTTCTCTTCTTCGTTTAGTACCACCAACACTAACATTGCTCCTACTATTACCGATGGCTTCTACTTCGAAGCGATAACGAAGAAGAAGCTAATTCTTCCAGGAGATTTAGTTCCATGCAAGTCGATCGAAAGGCATTGCCTCGCAGCATCGCAGCTCGAGTACATTAATCAGCACTTATCTACTCCACTCGATGGCTTTAGGTGTATCTGTTCGAGAGAGGCGGCGTGTGTTTCTAGGACAGACAATGGCTAATCGCCGACCACCTGTCTCTGTCGTAATCGCGCGAGCGCATTCGCTGCAATTAACGAAGCCTCCTTAACATACGGACACGAACGACGGGCCAGGTCAAAGCACCCGTGGAAACCTGACTACTTTCACGGAGTTTATATACGCTTAGTCTACGTATAGGCTCGTCTTTCACCGTCGTCGCCATTCTCCTCTTTCTCCTCCTCGTCAGCTTCGATAATAGCTCCAAGATACTTTTACGAGGATTAAACGAGTGCTATCAACGAGACGTCGTTAGTCAGTCACTCGACAAGAACTTTATAGCTAATTTTTTTTTTCTTCCTCGAAACGATGAACACGGAGGATATTAATGGCTCTTTCTTTTCGAATTCGTATAAATTTGAAATTATTTTTAAACAAAGCGAACGTGCCAATTTCAAATATCGAATTTCGTATTATTTTATAAAACTTCATATTTTTTTCAACTCATTCAGAAAGCACGATACTACATAAAATGTAGTAGTAATCGTCTCGAACAGATTTTCTTCAATCCGTTGTCCGATCGTTAATCTTCTCGTTCTAAAGCATAAATTTTAATCAAGCTCCAGTTCCGACGTTCTTTCCATTTCGATGGAAGAAACGGTATCTTCTCGTGGCAATTCCCTATTCTACGAGTGTCCTGCGTGTTACGGTTTTCCTTCCATCTTCTTTCTGAGCTTGGCCTCTCAAGATCCCAGTTACTCTCAGAAAATTAGAATTGTCCACGTCTAGCTATACGACCATTTTTCAACGAAAGGATCTCACTTCCTATTTTCTACGGATTCTATGTCGGTACAAAAAGGAATAAAAGAAAAATAGAAGAGAAGAAGGAAAGGGAATAGTCTACGCGTATAGGCTTCCACGATATGGAGGAAGGTTGAACATAAAATTCGAGAAGACGGCAGTTAAATTTTTCTTTATCCAAGCATATTCAACAAATTGACGTTGGATTTTAAGCAATAGGAAAAAATTACTAATCGAATGTAAAAAGAGCTTCGCTGTACGCATACGATTCGTGGAATGTAAGAAATAAACCGGATGAAGTATCGAACCCGCCTCCTAAGCAAAATTACTATCGATTAGTGAGAAACGCCAACGGTAGTGTTAAACTATGGCCTTTTAACAGCAGCAACAGAAGAAGAAACGTCGTCGTGGTAGCAACAGACACCTTAGCTCGAGGGAGACAAGACCGCTCTCGACCTTCCGACGAATGCCGTTCGATGCTTTTCTGACCAAGGCTAGATGGAAAAAATTTCGAGAACTGGTTTCTCACCAAGAACCAAACTTGTCTCACGTTATAACGAACTTAAGAGCCAAAGGATTTCACCATCCGAGGAAGAAACGAACATAGTAATTTATTTCTCATGCTACCATCGATGTCTATCTTTTATGCGTTTTTCTTAAAACAATAATCGACCGGAATAATTTGTTCCCTTTCTTTCTCTCTTTCTATCTCACAATCGATACGTATTGTTTCCTATCGAACCAACGTAATCCATCGAATTGGATACGTTCCGTTTCAGTCAATTTTGATTACCATGCTCTTTTTTTTTTTTACAAACATATTTCAATTTACGTCCGTTAGGTATATAATAAGGATTAAATCGAAATTCCAGATTTTTGTCGAATAAAATCTTTTCTTTTGTTCAGAGCACCTTTTTGATTTTCCATTACAAATTGATCCTTCCATTACTAATTTCTGATACAATGAACCATTTTATTTTTATACTCTATAGATATCGGCTATGGTTCTATATAATTATTGAAAATTATAGATCAGTTATGATATTGATCACATATTGTAAATTATACGGAATTATGTTAAAAGTAAGATTATTTACGATGACGACGAAAATAGAAAATGGAAATTTAAAAAGATATGGCAGAATTTTGTTTGCTTTCAAAGTCGAAAGATCTTGTCGAACGTTCCCAGATGAAATAGGAGAGCTCGAGCAGCTACGAAGACCAAGCCGTGAGTTTGTTGACACTGCTGTGAGCCGTACGCGTTCTCGATGTCCTC